ATAAGAGAAGAAATGTTCAACTCATATGAATTCAATTTTTTTCATTTTTCAGAAGTGCTGTTTCTGACCAAGAGACACCGACTTAATATATAAATTTGAAAATAAAAACATTTTGTTCTTATGATTTTTTTGATGCGGTGACTAGTCTCTGAGATATCGGACACGGTATGGTAGATTCAACGCTTTACTTATGTGAGTTGAAATCTGTAGTCATGAGTTGGCGAAAACTGGATAGAGAAATGCTGTTCACACAAGTTCTCTATTCATATAAGTTGAAATTCTTTTCATATGAGTAGAAATTCTATTCATATGACTTTGATTTTCTACTCATTCGTTCTCACCATTTTTAGCAGGGATAGCAGTGCAATATAGTGGCAAATCTCGTCCCTAGATCACATAGAATCACCGTAAGTACATAGTATATCGCCAGAATAGATGACATATAGCTGTCCAATCGACAACCACGGGCTGGTCAGACAGTCTGAATGCCCGGGGTGTCAAGAGGACAGCGATTCTGCCACGGATCGGCGGGTTGGAGTCCCTGCATTCACCTATTCTATTCATCTCTCATCACCACCGTGAAACCACCCCCCTCCCCCCATCATCACTGCAGTCGACCAGCCGTCTGGCTGCGTCTGACTCTGATCCCGCTAGAAAAATATCCAACACGTGTGCTGCCACGGCATGTCCGACCGTCTCCACTGGACAACAGCGTCGCCCGAGAAGGGACCGAGAACGGAGCTACTATTGATTTCGGAGCGTCCTTCAATCCAGACTTCTCGACGCACTCTTGGAGATAGTTCGTGTCATTGGAGAAAGGAGAAATGCAGTTTGCAGCATACTTCCAGCGCGCTCTCGCTTCCAATCGGTTTGATGTAAGTAGAGCCGATTGAAGTAATGCCCAGCAGGCTGATTATTGAAATTGATAGACATGGCGATAGACAAAGAAGATATGGGAAGTATGGAGGGATCCTATTGGTTGAGGTGGGAAGTTCCCATAGCCTTCGGGAGAAAATGATGGACTAACTGTAGGGGGTATCTAGTGGGTTGCCGTTACTTAGCCTACTGCTTTCCTCATTTGTCCATTGCAACGACTCGTTTCCGCCAATACGATTCCTCCATACCCCTTTTGTCTCCTGTGTCCATCGCTTCGTCTACCAATGTCAACAATCAGCCCGCTAAAGGGGACTCAAGTGAGAATTGCCGTTAATGAGAGATTAGCATGAATCCAATAGATTATCCAATGAAATATGGTAGATTTCTAAAGTTGGATGTGGAGCAGTTTTTAAATAATCACCAACCTCTGTGGTGATAGTACGATATTTCTTTCGGATACCTACAACATGTTGGCGGCAATGATGGACACATCCAAGTTAAACCAATCTCTTGAGTCCTAAGGAGGATTCAAAAGTGGATGAATGCAAATGGCGGCTGTAACAATTAAACTACAAAATAAGTGTTGAAATTTTTTTTCCCCGTAGTTTTACACTCGGTCTTAACTGAACTCGGTCCATTGCCATTGCGTCCAAAAAGTTAACCAAATTCTCATTTTTCGGCCTCCTGAAGGGCTTCGAAAAATGTTATACGGTATTCAAGAAATGTACTTGCAGCATAATTGGGGATATTTGAGCAAAAAGGAAGAAATAAGATCACATCCTTGTAAATTTTTCTCCCGCACTTTTACTTGCTAGAGAGAGTTATGCTTTTCTGCCTGAAATTTTCCGCTAATCCTTGCCGTCTATTGAGCCAAAAATTCTCGAGATTCCGTGAAAAAAAGAAATGCTGAGAATATTCTCTGTAAATTCTCTGTAAAAGCATAAATATTTAAGGAAAAAGAAAGAAACAAGATCACATCGTTGAAAAAATTTTTCCCGCACTTTTATATGCTGAAGAGAGTTATACTTTTCTGCCTGAAATTTGCCGCTAATCTTTGTCGTCTATGGAGCCAAAAATCCTCGAGATTTCGTAACAAAAAAAAATGCTGAGTAGTTTCTCTTAAAAAAGACCAAGATGGAAATTTTTCAAAATTGGATTTATGTGACGTATGGACGGAAAGGAGTCCATAATTGAATAAATCATGATAGATTTTTTTTTTTTTTTTTTTTTTTTTTTTTTTTTTTTTTTTGCTTATGCACGTATGTTTAATTTTACTGATCATGCAGTCGATTCTAGTAAGAGGCAGGGCCGTTTGCCAATAAGGTGGGTTTAAAACTCTCGTTACCGAGGAGTTGGTCACCAAATGGGTCCAAATAACTCCACGCAAAGCCCCCAGTCGAGAATTCTTCAGTTGCGATCAAATCCGGCGATTGTGCCTAGAATTCCGCGCCGTGGCTGCGCATCGAGATGGTCTGATGGCGCGAAACAACTCGTATTACTAGTTGTTACACGGGCGAATCTATGTTGAGGCGGTATCTGGAGGAGGTACAAACGATACTTATTAGCCAAGTGCATCTGCACGCCGCATCTACATAGACCTGCAGCATTACTGCAAATCCAGGTTGCCTCGTTAACTGGGGAGCGTTTTCATTCTAAAAGTAAGCAATGTTACTTCGAGGAGAAAAAAATTATGACTGGAGAATCTGATTGCAGTTTAAAGGTGGAAGTGATGAATTGGATTAAAATTGTCTCTCATATAGAGTGTCTGCGTACTTGTGCTTTTTCAAAGAGTTTTAGTCGGTTCATGGAAAAAATTAAAAAAAATGCAAAATTGAATCGTCCAATACTGACAGTTTTCAAGAATTGCAATATTCATATTTTTGCGTTTGTACCGAATAAGTAACCTTCACTTATAGTCTCAAGACATGCGTTCACTTTTTGGCGTGAATGGATCCACCGTACATTGACAACATTTAACATTTTCTCCAATCTCCTTCCGCCGACCGAAATAGACACTTAGGATGTTCCTCCCAATTCCATTACTAATTTCGATTTGGAATGATCATCAAAACCGAACTTGAAAGAGTGGATATAAGAGAATGGATCCTATTTTCAAAGTTTATATTTTCACAGCGTGACCCCTCCCTGAAGAATGCATCCATGTTTGAAGTCAGAGAATTCTTATCCTTATCTAAAGTTTGCAAAGTTTAAACATTTTCTATCACTTAATTTCCCTGAAACTGTCATAAAATTTCCTTGAAATTTCCATTGATTTTTAAGAGGAGAACATTTGCGCGGATTCCTTTGAAAATTTCAAGGAATTTGCTTTAAAATATGTAGAAAATTCACTGAAATTTGCAAAAAAATCCGCGCCACTGTTTTCATGTGTCAAAATTTAAATAGTCAAATTAAATTTGGCGGTAGCTGATGTGGCCTGGTTCATTTCTGCTTGACACGGTTAAATTGTTTATCTACCTTGAATCGGATTCAAACAAAATTTTGCCTTCCTGAGAATTTTGTTGGGAGAGCTGAATTTTCTTTCTCTGTAAAATTTTACCTACAACGAACCAGTGGATAAGAGTTTTTGTTCTCTGGTCAAAATTTCATGGAGGATACAAGGAGCACGTCGAAAGTTTTAAAGCTGAATACGCAGATAAAATATTAGGGTTCCTTGTATTCGACAATGCAACCTCCCGGGTACTTTACCAAAGAACAAAATTGATTTTAAATCAAACCGCGCTCTAAAACAGTTTGTGTTGAAATTATCTGATTCATTTTTGGCAATTACTGAGGAAAATTTCGAAGAGGAGGTACATTTTAATGGATCCCGAATCTGTCGATTTACCGAGCGACGATTAGCCTCCAAAGGCAAATTTGAGTTTCCTGATTCTAATGTTTTTCAACGCTAATTTCTCCGTCAAAAGTTATTTTTTAAAATTTTCAATAAGTTCAATAAGTGTGCGTAAATGTTTGAACACATTGTGCAGAGATTCGGGCGAGAACTTTCCCATTCCCGGAAACGGATATTTTTCCGGCTGAAAGGTAATTTATAAGAAAATTCTGAAAAATTCAGATTTCAGAAAAAATGTTTCAGAAAATTCTGAAAAATTCAGATAACTGCACAAAGATAAATAAAGTAATGACTCCATTTTTAAAAGAGCCATTGAAAACGCTTGTAGGAACCATACCGGTCATTACTCGATTCTTTTCCGTTCCAGCTCCCAGGAATCTACTAATTTCCCGAGAAACTTAAGCCATACTATTGAACATATTTATGCTAAAAGTAACTATGTTACACGCAATCCCTATGCACATAGCTGTTTTTAGCATAAATACGTTCTATTGTCGTACCTACCCTGTATCATCTCTGCCACGCTGAGAAAGGACGTTGTATGAACGTTCAGACGATCTAAAAATTCTTCTGACAAAAATTAAAATTATTACTTAAATTAATTTATTAGGAAAGGAATTTATATTTTTCCTTGAAATTTTCAGATACACTGGGAAAAAAACACATTGGATCTATAGTCCAGACTCTTGAAAACATTAACAAGAAAAAATACTCATGATTCAATCAGATTTAAGCTTAAATCAAAAGAAAATCCGCTCAAATTAAGAGGCTGGGTTCTTGATTTCAGCTTACCTAAATCCGATTGAATCAAGAGTTTTTTTCTTGTCGATGTTTTTAAGAGTCTGGACTCCAGATCCAATGTGTTTTTTTTCCAGTGTACTTAAGATTCAGTTGCAAAGGAAACTCTGGAGTATTGGCAGGAAAATATTCCCTAGGCTTCTTTATCCTATAGACAATTTGACAGTGCCAATAGGCTCATGCGACGTTCCTCCTTAGCAGGGCAGATTGAACACCGAGAAAAACGATTGGTATAGAATTCACCATTCCTTCACGCTATATTTTACACAGCTCGAATTCAAAGTCGATTCTGCCAGAGGAATGGTTACCTGTGCCAGTATATAGTAACGTTTACCTTTCTTCTGCCAGAATTGACTCTGAATCGACGGCTGTGTGAAATACAGCGTGACGAAATGGTAAATGCTACCAATCATTTTTCTCGGTGAATGCAGCCTCTCGACTACAATGGAGACAAGAGCGTGACATGCAGACTGACCTTTGCACTCGTTGGCGTCCCTGGCGGTGGCCCTAGCCCAGGGCCTGTCGAAGTGGAAGGGCTTGCACCTCTCGCAGTCTCGACCGGCCGTGTTGTGTTTGCACTCGCACTGGAGGCCCTCCGGCCCCGGAACGCACCGCGAAGCGTGCCCGTTGCACTTGCACCGACCGCCGACCGCGAAGTCGGACACCGCGTAGTGGTAGACCACCGTGGACATCGTCGTCGGCACCAGGTTGTTCAGAACGCTGCCCAACCCTTTCGCCTCAGCCTCCTTCGCCTCCAGCTTCCCTGCAGTTGTCGCCTTGTCCGGCTCCTGGTTCTGCAACTCCTGATTCGGGTTCAGCACTACCGGACTGTTATCCTCGTCTTCGAAATCGTCATCCTCTTCATCACCATCCTCATCGTCCACGTCTTCATCACCCTCCTCTTCATCGTCCTCTCCGTCATCGTCCAAATCATCGTCGTCGTCGAAGGAGGACGGGACCTTCTTCCTCTTCGGGTCGGGTTTCTTGGGCACGAGTTCCGGCTCGAGGATCTCGTCGCCTTCGTTCGTCTCCCTTTCCTCCACCTCGCCGGGCGGGAAGCTGAGCCGGTTGAAGACGACGCGGATGTCGGTGGCCGTGACCCAGTCCTGGAGCACCGGGGAGTTGTCGAAGTCGGCGGCGCTGGGGCGGCCCTCGAGGGTGCTGAAGGCGATCCGGGAGCCGGTCGGCCCGTCGCTCACGTCGCCCGACAGACGGTGCGAGTCGGAGCAGAGCGCCTCTTGCTCGTTCGAGCGGGTGATGGTGGCGCGGTTGACGCGGCCGTAGACGCGCTTGCACTGGCTCGAGTAGAACTGGAACGGCTGCCAGGTCTTCCCGTAGTCCATCGACTTGTAGATGGCCAGCGAGTCCGGCTTGATAGACCGCGGGCAGAACTGGAGGGACACGTAGGTGAGCTCGTACTTCTTCCCGAGTGAGAGGGTGAGAGTGACATTGTCGGGGGGAGCGTTGACGTCGCTCTGGTGGACCATGGGCTCGGAGCGCCAGCAGGTGATGTTGTTGGGGTTGTTGAGGTCGGTGAGGTACTTGGCTGGGTGGCGCTTCTTGGGGACTGTATCGTCACAGACGTGGCAGTCGACCTCGCTGTTGGGACCGGGCGCGTCGCAGTACTTGGACGGGGCGGCGACCCCGCAGGTAGAGGTCACGTCCACAGGGTTCTCGAAGGCTGCGTTCACGAAGTCCGGGATGCAGCGCTTGGGGGTGTCCTCGTCGTAGCAAGGGTCCAACGGCATCGACGGATGGAGGTAGAGGTCTCGGAGGCTCGGCGAGTGAGCAGCCGTCGAGAGAAGAGGCAGGAGCGACAGGAGCACCAGCATTTTCACTTTGTCACTCATCTTCGCGTCGGAGGCTTTAAACTGAAGCGCGGCACATCGTCGGGCGAAGGCAGACAAAATCACCGGGGAATTCACGCACATCCGAGGAACTTATGAGGTCAGGGTAAAGGTATCTTCAACCGATAGACACACACAACTCACGCCTGTGCGCACTCATTGAGCAGAGATCGGACATCACTAATTCACACTCGAAAGAGATTAAATTAAAGTTAAAATAATCCGGCAAGATCGAACTACTGATTGTAAAATAAATTCACTCACAAATCCACTAACACACAGGCAAGAATTTTCACGAAAGAACCAGGAGTTCAGAAGAATATAACGCCCGAATTTTTAAGACATAGAATGAGAAATATTTTGGATTTGCACATGTGGGGTAAAGCGAGATCACTGCATGAAAAGCACCACAGAAAATAAAATCCGGGGATCACTTTTCAGCGCGTTGAACTATCCACAATTCGAACTATTGTATTGTGACTATATCGATAGTATACTACCGCTGTGGCACGGTGGCGAAATCTCGCCGAAAGCGCGTGGACAGGGGGAGCACTGAACCGTAGAATACGCGGGGGACGGACACGAGGGACGCGGACGCTCTACCCGGCGACTTGACTCGTTACAGACTGCGGAGCTCGCCGCGGAGTCTGGAGCAGGAGATGCCGAGCGCAGGGTGCGGGGGAGGGTGGAGTTTGCGAGACGCTCCACCAATCGCGCGCCGCGCCGCTCTGTCTCGCTCGCCAGATTGAACCCCATTCGGGCGCCGTCTTCGCGGAACGGAAAATCCGAGATTCTGGATATCGGCTCGACAAAAAACCCTCGAGGGCTTTCGAATCCGCTGTTTTAAATCATGGAGAATCCTAAGTTCGCTTCACCTTGTTATATGCCCACGTACACCGATGTACTCGAGCCGCGTCCTAGCCGTGCACTGGAAAAAAAACACATTGGATCTAGAGTCCAGACTCTTGAAAACATTGACAAGACAAAATACTCTTGATTCAATCAGATTTTTGCTTAAATCAAAAGGAAATCCGCTCAAATTAAGAGGCTTGGTTCTTGATTTAAGCTAAAATCCGATTGAATCAAGAGTACTTTTTCTTGTCAATGTTTTCAAGAGTCTGGACTCTAGATCCAATGTGTTTTTTTCCAGTGCAAGAAGAAAACGCCGTATCAGCTCTACTCTGCTGTGCTGAGGAAAAACGCCGTATGAGGCCTCAGGCGTTGCCAAATTTCCTTTGATGAAACACGGATTTCCTGGTAAACTTATGAATATTTTCCTTATACATTTTCAGATAACTTTGATCGCAATTTCACCTGAAGTTCCTGAAAAGCTCAATGGAGAATATTCATAACTTGCCTCAGAAATAAACATTTTATCGAATAAAATTTGGCAACTCTCGAATGTTTACACGGCGTTCTTCTTCAGCACGGCAGTCTTACTTGCCTATGATAATGTGCAATTCTTCGTGGATTCTTATGAATAATAGTTCTTCAATGATTCACATAATTTTATTCGCAATTTAATCTGAAACATTTGAAAATTTTAAAGACATTTACACATTTTTTTTTTATAAAAATAAACATTTTAATAAAGAAAATAGCTATTAAACTTATTATTTATATCCTATAGCTATTAGTTAGTAAGTACCAGTACAGCTGCATGGAAAAAAAATGGATCGCTGATTAAATAATTCAATTTTTAAATTAGCAAATTATGTTTTTCGTAGCGACCGCTCCCGTCACGGCTATACAGCTTGATGTTCTTGGTTTTTTGGAGATCATCCCCGAATTTAATCCAGCAGTCTTATTACGCCCTTCAAATGGGTCTGTTGGACTCACAATCAGAGGAGTTACAGCAAACTGAATAATGGTCTCCTATTTGCGATATCGGACAAAAATCGTGTTAAGCACGTTTAAAAGTTTTGAAATACGCTCCAAAACGCGCGCAATTACTAATTTTCTATTAGGTATGCTGTCAAGGCAGGCACTTTTTTCTTACAATTTCAGTTTGCTAAGAGAGGGATGCAATCGGAACCCAAACAAATAAATAATCGCACGAATCGTTATCAGTCTTTCTCACGCACTATTATTCCAGCCATTATGAAGCATTTGTTTTCTCCGTATTTAGATAGTAAGGCAAAATCAAATGCTGTACATTCATTGAAATCGTACGCAAGAAAGATTGATAACAGTGGTCAACACGGTCGATTTGTCATGTTGGGTATTACCACCGTTAGGTTGAGAGTCTCAACGCTGATTCAGAATAATGTTCGTTTTTCTTAATCAGATCGGGTTTGCTCGGAAAAATCGGAACTGGCTCCGAAATCGAGCCTTTAAAGGAAAAATTTTAATTTTCCATGTTCCTAATGGGTGCGTGATAAAATAGAACAAAGACCATTTTCGGATTAAGCAGCTAAAAACACTCACTACCTCGTACGTAGATTGCCTGACAGTACTCACTGTTGTACTATAATTACGCAGTTTTCTTGCCAAATGCATCCATTCATCCCTACACCACCATGTAGGTATAGCCTATTCGATTGTTTTGCGTCGAGAAGGATGAGAAACTTATTTTTCCCTGCAGGTGGCATGTGAGGCTATTTCCGTATTTGTTTACTTTTTTCAGCGGTACACTGGAAAAAAAAGTCGCTTGGTTCTAGAGTCCAGACTCTTATAGAAACATTGAGAAGAGAAAATACTCTTGATTCAATCAGACTTTTGCTTGAATTGAAGAGCCAAGCTTCTGGATTTAGGCGGATTTCCTTTTGAATCAAGCAAAAAGTCTGATTGAATCAAGAGTATTTTTTCTTGTCGATGTTTTTAAGAGTCTGGGCTCTAGATCCAAGCGACTTTTTTTCCAGTGTATGCGGCTGTAAGTGACATATCGACGGTGAAAGTCGGCAATCACATAACTCGGTTTGCGACGTCGCAGACTTCCTGTCATACTTTATTTTTTAAACGGAAAACTACTCAACGGTAATTCTTTAAAACTGCCGTGATTTTTCTTCTATGTACGAGGAAAATTCTGCAAAAACTTCAAGGAATCATGTCCATTTGTTCTCCTTTAAAAAAATAACATAGTTGCGGAGATTTTCAGACACCGCAAACGAGTTATGTGATTGCCGACTTGCACCGTCGATATGCTGGTACACCAAATTTCCCATTCTGGAGACTGGGCAACTTTTCTGTCCCGTCCGTGGACAGGTCAGCCCCTTTGCCCAGTCCATGAACTTGTCAATCACCTTGCGGACTGGCCGGTCTAAAGTCTGAAGCCGGTCGTTAATTTTAAATGCAATCCATTTCGACGGTGTAAGTCGGCAATCACATTTCTCGTTTGCGGTGTCTGAAAATCTCCGCCTCCATGTGATTTTTTTAAAGGAGAACAAATTTACATCATTCTTTGAAGTTTTTGCAGAATTTTGTTCGCAAAGAGAAGAAAAATCACGGCAGTTTTAAAGAATCGCCGTTGAGTAGTTTTCCGTTTAATGAATGAAGTATGACAGGAGGGGAAGTCTGCGACGACGAGTCTCGACCTACGAGTATATAATACTGCACTGATTGTGAGTTGGTTGCATGTGGCGCCTTGATGCAACTATTCGTGTTCCACGGATGTGCGTGTTGCGTGTTCAAAATTGAAGGCACTTTCACTTTTCTCATCTCTTCAAAAATACATGAGAGTTCTTCGTTCGACTCTTACACCAATAACAGAGTGCGCAAGGAGACAAACTAGGCATTACATTTCAATCATTTTACTACACCAAAAAAAAAAAAAAAAANAAAAAAAAAAAAAAAAAAAACACACACAAACAAAAAAAAGAGCCCCTTTCTGATTAGTCGACGAATTTCAGGTTATGATTATGGATGTTCTGATATCAAACTTTTGAGACTATTTTGAAACGAAATTTGATGAACATTTTCGATAAGAATCATTCTTTTTCTGTTAATGTCATTCATCCCTCCATCGAGAAAACGAATTTCTATTAATCGGCTTTGTTTACTAGGAGATCGAGTTTGTAAAAAAAAACTCGTAAATTCTAATTAAAACCTTCTACCCTCTAAGATAAATAATCGAAAAAATTAATTTTAAACTTAGCAATCAGCATTTTCTGGAAGGAATAACATTTTACATAGTAAATGTAAATAAACACCAATATCTTTTATAGTTATTTAGCGAACGTAAGCTTTGAAATTGGCGCTCTCCGGAATCAAAGCTACGTAGATCCTTTTATAATATTGTTAGGAAAATATGCTGAGAATAACTTCGTATAATGTGAATCACGCTCGTTGAATGACTGACTTTCTCTGCTGAACTGACAACGTTTTCCAAGTTGTTTTAATCGGGTTTCTTTTTTGGCAAACGGAAAAGCAGAAGTGAGGACGCAAGAGAGGCGACAACCTTAATTTCCTTTGATCGGGTGAACCGGAGTGGGTGTGGGGGGGAGGGGCGCGCTTTCAGGTAACACCCCATCTTCTCTTGGCGATTATTTCAACGACTTTAGCGTCGAGGGCTTTGCGTGGAGCGCTATGAGTCGAGATCGGTAGATAGCAGCATTGTCGTCAGATGTTTTCTGTTTCGTGTTTTTGGTGGCAATACGTCGAGAAGAAAATGTTCATCTAGACTCCTTGAGCCTGAAATCAAATGTCGCAGGCAGTCAGCAATAATTGCCGTTAAATTTGCAAGTTCCATGCGTGTTAATTTGTCAAAGTGCAATAATTTGCATCGACATGGTAATGGTTTTATACGTATAAAGATGTTGAAAAGCATAATCGCGCTTTGGAACACCTTCAAAGGCCGGTGATCCTCTCTGCTTTGCCAAGTAGTTAGTTTAGCTGCCTATCCGAACCGAACCTAACTAAGGTCACTAAATGCGCACTCGCCAGTGTGTAACTGATACCATGCTTTTAAGAGTTGAAAAAACGCTGAGTTTAATTCACAGCATGATTATCGGCACAGTTCATCTTGTTTCTTGAGTCATAAAGTAAGTGTATGAGAAAACTATTTTCCACCAGGTCAACCCTTCTGATTTCATTCCTCCTTTAAATACTCTTGCTGAACGGAGAAATATCAATGGTGAAACTATAGACATGCATATCTCGATTTGCAGCGTTGCTTACTTCCTGTCATGCTTGATTTCCTACATGGATAGCTTCTGAATGTCAGTTTTTGAAAATTTTAGTGATTTTTCTTGTATTCACAAGAAATATTTTGTGAAAATTTCAAACCATGATGCGGGTTTGGTCTCCTTTTAAAAAATAAAATAGTAGCGAATATTTTGAAACACCGCAACCGAGGTAGTCATTTTTGCAGTTTCACCGTCGATATGCATAGAAAAAAATGGATGGTGCTGACGACAGAACCTTTTGTTCATACGGCTCCCACAGTTTCTTTGTTACACTTACAGAACTTTTCTGTTGTGAGAACAGAACTTCTGTCGTGGGAACAAAGTACTCTGTTCCCACGACAGAAAGTTCTGTAAGTGTAACAAAGAAACTGTGGGAGCCGTATGAACAAAAGGTTCTGTTGTCAGCACCATCCATTTTTTTCTATGTGTTGCAGGCAATTAGCAATCGCCGGCAATTCGCAAGCGGTTCACACGTTGTTTCAATATAT